CCTGATCCCTCATCAAGTTATATTATTCAATGACCATAGCATCCTGCCGATCCTTGCGCCACTTTTTCAGCCGCGCCTCGCGCAGCTCGCGTCCGATCGCAGCGGCAACGGGCCAGGGAACCGCGTTTCCGATTTGCCTGTGCATCTGATATGGGGGTATGGATACGCGTCAGGGCCAGTAAGCAGCAGAAGGGAGTTTTTCGTTGTTCGGCGCACCGTTACGACGTCGTCATTGATCGAATGGAAGACAAACGAGTCTGGAAAACCCTGCGAGCGCGCCAGCTCGCGGACGGTGACCATGCGATGGCACTACGAAATAGAGAATATCAGGCAGGGCAAAGGGGGAGGGGGGGGGGGGGGAGTATTCCTACATACATAGGGATTCAAAACGCGCGACTGCTTGGCGGTCGGCTCGACGTTCGTCACCGTCGTCTGGAAGACGAAGTCCTTATCCAGTCGCCCGTAGAGTCCTCGAAGCAGAAAGTCGGTGCTCGCTCATTCGTCCGAGGAAGTGCTTCATACCTGGTCGAAAGCCTTTCCTCGCGATCGCCGAGGCAGGATCTGAGAACTGCCATTCCCAATGCTCCTTCTCCAGCGCTACACGCATAAATACTCAGCGAGTGCGTGCATACCAATGGGGAAGGGGGGGGGGGGGGGGAGTAAAGGGCACGCACAACGATAGTCCGCACGAGCGATCAGTGGAATGTTGACGACGCTGCGCAACAACGATAAAAAAAAAAAAAATACCACGTAGGCTGGGGGGCAGGTCCGCTCACCGTTCGACAGTCGCGGGTTTTAGCGCCCGCGTGAAATGCTGCAGGTCCTCCGTGCGCCGGCGGCGGCACCACGCCTGGAACGACGTGCGCGGCGCATGGTGGTAGCGCAGCCCCGCGCCGGATACGGGGCCCTCGAAGCCTATGTGCTTCTTCGTCTGGTCACACCTCAGCGCGGGCACACGCTCCGCGCGCTCGCGCGCCTCTGCGCGTTTCTGCGCGGACAGGCGGTTCAAGCTCGGATTTTTCCTGGGGATCCCAAAATCAGCCAACGTGGTCGGAAGAGACAGGGCACAGACCAGTCGAAGCGCGGTAGATCGCTGATAGCGTCGTCGATCGACACGAAGCGGAAGGGCGCGGTGCCCGCCTCAGCGTGTACTGCGCGCGCGATGTCGCCGTTCGGGAAGTGGACCTCGAGGCGGTTCGTCCGTGGGAAGTCGTGCGTCGGCTGCGGGGCCGAGGGGAGGGGGTACCCGCGCCGGGCCGCGAGGAGGAAGAAGCGTACACGCGTCTGCGGCGTGCCGTAGTGCGCGGCCTGTAGCAGGCAGAAGCGGACCTGGTAGCTGCAGAGAGCGAGGAGCCCTCAGCTACGGCCCTGGGGCAGAGGAGGGAAAGCACGTACTTCATCGCGAGCATGGCGTGCACGAGGAACTTGAGGCCTCCCATGCTGATCCCGCCGGTGGTGCGGTGTTCGTCGAGCTGCACCGCGCGGAGGTTGTAACTTAAGAACCCACGCACATTCTCGAACACGCAGTACGGGGGCTCGAGAAAGTCGACCCAGGATAGGAGGTTGAGAATGAGGTTGCTCTTCACGTCGTTTGCCTTCTGGAACATGTTCAGCTGCGAGTGCGGCTGGCTGATCGTGGCGGGGTGGTGGTCCCCTTGCGCGTCAGCGGGTGCGGTTGGCGCGGGCAGCATGACCCACGACACGCACCAGGGGAAGCCAGCCACGATCACGTCGATGTCGCCTGGCCGTGGCGGCGGCGGCAGTAGCGAATTGTCATAAATGTCCTTCGGCACGTCATCGTCCACGAGTAAGCCGCGGTGCGACTTGATTGCATAACGCAGCACTTCATTTGCACACTGGTTGTACACGATCGTTCCGGGAGAGTTGCGTCTGCATAACCAACGATCTCAAAAGCAATCGCAAAAAAAATGGGGCTGCACACCTGAACGTCCTCGCTGCACTGGGCCCTAGCTCGATCGCGTGTGTCGTCTTCATCCCACACGTGGCGCTTTCCATGCCGAGGCTCATCGCGCCCGCGCCTGCAAACACGTCGAGCACGCGCAGCTTGCGCGCCTGCGCCTCCTCTTCGAAAGCAACAGCCTCCGCGAGGCGCGCCTGGAGCGCGAACGCACACGTCGAGCACCCGATGCCTGCGTCCTCTGCGAGCAACACCCGTTCGTCCCAGGACGCAGGCCGGCGCTGTGCGAAACAGTAGCGGTAGTAGAAGTGCGCGGGGCCGAGCGTCGCCCAAAGGTCCATGTCGAAGATGAGATCGTGATGCAGGACGTAGCACTGCGCGAGCAGGTTCTCAACAGGTGCCTCCTCGAACTCGTCTGTGAAGAACAAATGGCGCTGCGAGCGTTGCGCAGACGTCGAACATTCAGGAAAGAAGGACAGGTGCGCAGAAAGGCAGAAAGCGTACCTCGTCGCGGAGCTCGTCAGGCGGTAACAGATCCGCGAGGTCGGATACACGCCCAAGCAGCTGCAGCTTGACCCATACCGGGTCGCTCGTGAACACGCCGACGAGCTGCGCGATACGCGAGGGGCCCTCTTCTGCGCGTACGAGTGCGAAGTCGCCAACGTGGAACGTTGTGCCGTGCACAGCAACACCCGCGACTCCACCAGCACGGCGCACGACACGCCCATGCGCCTCGATCTCTTCCTCCTCGTGGCGCGCACAGACGGTGCAGTTATGCGGCGGGTCCGCGTGCGGCGGCGTGGGCAGCGGCTCTGAGAACGATGCGTCCGTCTTATCGTACACGAAGCGGAAGAAGTACCCGTCATAGTTGTCAGGCACGGAGGCACGTGCGGAGAAGTCTGCGACGGGCACGGTACCGCATAGCGCGACGAGGGGTAGGGTGTCGCAGAGCGGCGTAAGGAACAGCTCACGGTGGTCGGCGATGTCGTCGAGGAACGTGTTGGGCGCGTAGTCGAACCACTGTATATGCACCCGTTCGTCCTGGCCATTGATGTGCACGATGCGACCGAACCTGTACAAGTCCATTCCCGTCTGGGCTCGCTACACAAACGAGAGGGGAAAAGTGCGTGCGCACCAGAAGTAATCCGAGAGCCGCGAGTCACGAGGGGTGGCATCAGGCGTCAGAGGAAATGAGACGGGAACATGCCCCCGCTTCGTCTCGTCCTCGCCAATGGGCACGAGTACAACGTCCCCGACCTATCACAAGAGCGTCCGCATTAATCAATTCGGGGCCTTGGGCGCCAACGCACCTCGAACAGCGCTTTCGGAACCTGTCCACGCACGTCCACCAGCCCCACGCGGTGCATGAACGGCTGACGCGGATGCACGCGCCAGCGCGTCGGAGCCTCGACGCTTTGCGTGCCCTCGGGACATAGCGCCATCGCGACCGCGCGTCGCAAGCTGTTCCACTCATCCCTGGAGTTCCCACTCAAGCCTCCTCCCCCTGCGCGCCTCCGCGTCGCTGGCGCTGCCGACGGTCGCCGACCAAGAACGACAAGTTGCTCACGGAAAAGGCCTGTGGCGAGCTCGGCGATGCGCGGCGTCACGTGCGTAGGTCGCTGGTTCTCGGGCCGCAGAACCGCGAGGTCAAGGTTCCCCATGGTCGATGGAAGGAGACGGAACGGCGCGCGACGCGAGGACACGCTCGGACCTTGACCCTGATGCGTGCGCGCGCGCCGCATGGGCAGAGACGTGGCGCCCCTTTCCGAGCCGGGAACATTGAGGATGAGTTGAAAGAGCGGGGCACCGCGCAGGGCGCGGTAAGTGGGCTCGTCGAGCGTATCAAGGGCCGCATGGATTGCGGGGATCTTACCGGGGGAGACGCGTCAAGATAAGACTATGTGGCATAAGGCAACGTACGGCATCCTGCAAGTCGCGCGGGGTGCACGTGCCGCCGCTGCTTAGCGCCATCATGCAGGCGCTTGCTTCGAGTTCGCTGACAAATGCCTCGAGCGACATGTCGGGATCGCAGACGAGCGCACATACGAGCGCCTGTGCGATCTTGTGGGCGCGGAAGAACGGCGCATAGTACGCGCGATATTCTCGCGCGGGTACTCCGAGGATGTACCACGCCGTGGTAGTCTCGATGAATATTGGACTGCCACCGATGAGCGACGCGTAGGAGACAAGGGGAGAGGGCGTACTCGTCACTCTTGGTATAGTCGATCGTGTACCGCAGCAGCGCACCAAGCCTCAAGCGCACCGACACTGCCTTTACCTCATCCTCTCCCTCGCTATCGTCGCCGTAATCGCCATCATCCTCCTGCCCGGCGTCCTCATCGTTCTCGAACAGCGGCGCGGCCACACCAGCACCTTCCGGCGCGCACCCGGACGATGGCGTGTCGAGGGCGTCGAGGGGGAGCATGTGGAGCGCGAGGTCTCCGCGCTTCTTCGGGCGCGGACGCGCGTCAAAGACGGTCCAGTCGTGCAACATGCGCACGGGCTTTTTGTCCACCTCCCCAACGTCGTCCCCTTCTCCGGCCGGATTTGGCGCGTCGTCCTCGCCGAGGAGGAAAGCGATGTCTGGTGCCGACTCGGGGAGCTCGTCTGGGCGTGGGGTGTAACACATTTCCTTTTCCTCATCCTTCTCTGCGAGACCGGGTGGAGGGTGATGGTTGCGGCGTTTCGTAGGCTACAATTCCCACCCAGGGTGAGTAGGACCAAAAGGTGATGAGACGAGAGAAAAACACACACGACCGTCAGATCCTGCAGTAGATTCGTGCTTGCGTTTACCCCGTCGAGAAACCCTCTCATTGTCCCCATCATCGACTGCGTCTTCGTCCTCTTCTCCGTCGTCTTCATCACCGCTAAGCTCGTTCGGGAAGCTCACTTCAAACGCAGTCGGGCGTCGTGACCTCTGTGTCGACTCCGCGCCTGGTACCATGTTAGTGTCAGATGCAGGTCCAAGATCCCAAGATCCAAGACTCAAAGCAAGGGAACCGGCCCGTTTTCCCGTCCCGGCCACACTAGTCAGTTGGTCGTAGCGGTAGATGATAGCTCCCACATTATAATCGAAGTCAATGCCCGCCTAGCTCAATCGGATAGAGCGTCAGACTCTTAGGTGGGTGTTGGTTGCGCCTCTACTGTAATCTGAAGGCTGCGAGTTCGACCCTCGCGGTGGGCTACTAGGCCACTACTTTTTGCGCTTCTTAAATACCAAACATATAATGAACTCATATCGCCCGTCAGTCAGAGTCATCCGCGGACCAAATTCGCTGCTAATCGCGTTGTTGTTCTGTTTTCCGACTCTCAGACAGTCTCAATATCCACAAAAAGCGAAAAGTAAGAAACAATCGCCACCTCAAGCAGGCTTACTGGATTCAGACTTTGCAATGCGGACCCCAGTTAGGCGGTGCATCTACCGGCAGTGGTGGGAGATCGTTATTCTTCTCAGAGGCGGCAATTGTTTAGCGCGGCTTTCAAGCGCATGTATTGCGTAACAAAGCTACAAAATCGATACACCGCGGTATCATCGCGGTGCGCGGTGCACCCACCTCTCGTGGCGTATTATACATGCAATTAACCGTGTATCGTAAATCGTACGCGCGCCACAAGCACTCTACTCCTCTACACTGGCCCCAGAGGTCAACTATTGTCCTAAAAAAAAAGGATTGGAAGAAAAAGAAAGAAAAAGAAAGCATTGACAGTATCGTGTATACGCCAGCCGCATAGCATACAGACATCACATTGCGCAGTTACATACGTACAGGATATCCCTTGTTCTTCTTGTCTTGATTGCCACGCGGGGCACTGTTACTTGGTTGTTGTCGCAGCTACATTAGCTGACGGAGCTGCCGACGAGGACGTGGTAGCTGTGGTCACACTGGTGGTGGTAGTAGTAGTAGTAGAAGTAGCAGCACTATTGGTAGTAGTTGCTGAAGCTACTGTCGGCGCGGCGGTAGCCGCAGTGTTATCGGTACCGGTAGTCACAAAGCGGTCATCTGAGACCGCAAGCGCGCCTTCTGGGACGGTGCCATTGGGCAGAGTTGAGTCTGTCGTCACTTCATGGAATTCTTAAGATCCACAGATCGGTACACGAACACAACCCACGTAACTTAGAGGAGGAACGTACCGAGGATCTCCGCGTACATCATCACTTTCCATGCATCAACCGGAAGATCAGCGTCGTTGAAGCTCCAATCAAACTTTTCTGCAGCAACGGGCTCGTCCGTTGGATCGTGGTACGGTGAAACGTACTCGTGGGAGAGACACTCGGTCGCATTGATTCGCTTACGGGGATCGAACACAAGCATCTTTTCGAGCAGATCTAGCGCGCTCTCGTCGTTGCATCGCAGCTTTTCGCTGAATGGCACCCGCTGGCGCTTTGGCAGGCTCTGCACGAAGCGGAGAGTCTAACACCACCGGTTAGCACGCAAGCGAACGTAGGAGATAAGGGTCTGCGCACGTTTTCGCTGCAAATGGTCTCGATTACATCGTCGGGTGGGGTGCCGAGCAGCTCAGTGATGATCGAGAATTGGTTTACATCTGCATACCTAACTCAGAGACGGTATTTCTTTTTGAAAAAAAAAAAAACGAAAACGTACGATCCTTTCCAGGGAAGAGAGGTTTTCCTTCGAGCATCTCGGCAAAAATGCACCCCGTACTCCAGATGTCTACTGCGACGTCGTACTTTTGCCACGTGAGCATGATTTCTGGAGCGCGATAATAGCGAGTCGACACGTAGCCCGTCATCTGCGGATCCTGTATTCGGGCAAGACCAAAATCACAAATCTAAATTACAGTTGTCAGCCACGGAGTACCAGAAAGGATGCGTCCGCGCCTTGAGATCGCAGTTTTCGTTGACGAGGATATTACTTGGTTTCTAATGGCGGAAAATGAGGGAAACAAAAAGAATGCGAGAGTTAAAGTGGGTTCTTACGAGATCGCGGTGGACGACACCTGCCGAATGCACATACTTGAGCCCGCGCTGAGAGGGAGAAATAAGAACGGTATATAAGATGGATATCGACAAAGTAGGCTTACCAAGATCTGGTATAGAAAATACTGAATAAACTGCTTCTCTAATGGTCGAGAAGTAAGTAGTCGGTGAAGATCAGTTCCGAGGAGTTCAGTCACGAAATAGCTGATAAGATTGATGCGGTGAATATGACGGCGTAGGGAGAGAGGAGGAGGACATACATATCCTCCAAGGGAGAGATGAAGACATCGCTGAGGCTGATGATCTGGTAAGAAAGCGGGACGGGCTTGGTGAAATGGGGAGGAGGGGGTAGAGGCGCAGAGACTCACGTTTTCGTGTTGGATGTGCTTGAGGAGTTTAAGCTCGCGGTAGGTGCGCTTAGATAGGACGGGAGTGCTGAAGGGTTTCATGATTTTTTTTATGGCAACGGACGCGCCTGTCAGTTGGTCCTTCGCAGAGCTGCACAATGTATGCGTCGATGTGAAGTCGGCCAAGCCAGAAACGAGAAAGCGTACCATACTAGCCCAAATGCACCTGTATCGAGAGGTGAGAAGGTATCAAAAAGAGAGAGAAGAAAATGACGAACCCATGCCGACGGGTTGAAGATCGACATATCTTGTAGTGACCTGAGATAGATCAAGGTGTGAGACGAGAAATGAGAAATGAGGAATGGAGATTAGACCTCGAACGAAGTGCCGAATATGCTGAGTTTGACAAAAGACATTGTATTTGAGATTGAGTGGGGAGGGGATCCAGCAATAGGGGTTTCGAGGTGGAGTGTGATGTCTTGTGGAGCGACCACCGATGAGGACGTCATGAACGCATACACTCACACTCGCTCCGACGTAATACTGCACCGATTCTAATAACTCCATTAGGCATCCTTCCCGCCACCATCTCGCCTGCACCAAGATCCAAAACGATATCTATGTCATCGGCTGAGGTTAAATATTATCAGGCCACCAATCCTGAACCTCCGGCAACTCATGCCGAGGCTTTTACCCACTGAAATGGGATTCTCCGCTATGAATCCCGAAAGTCCGCTGACGTAAATACGGGTAAATAAGGGCAAATACCAACCGAATTTTCGAGGTAAGTTAGTGGGGGCCAACGACTGAGGCCACTCTGTCGTCAAATCCATGCCAGTAGCGCAAAAAACTGGAGTTTACTGGATAACATCCTCTACTGGTCCCTCATCACAGGCCGTTCTACTTGACGGTCAATCCGCTCCCTGCGTACAGTGTTCCTCATCCACTTGAAACAAGATCGTACGTCTGTCTGTCCCCCTAGTCATCGATAGTCGTCAGCTTGCGTCCGGATATCTTTAGTTTTTCTTAAGTTGAACTATATGCTGTTTTTTTTTTTTTTTGAAACCTGTGTTTATATGGGAATCGCTGATGGCATCAGGTCCTTGTTATTTCCTCTGTGGCTAGATACGTATGTCCTAGACCGTTGCCACGGTCGACCTCTGCCGGTACGAAGGGCTTCAACGCGTGTGTTCCTGGGCTAGCAATCCACATGCAACCCGGGGTTTGGACCAGTTGTTAGCTCCTTCGAATACACGGCGTCCACCTACTTGTTCTTGGTCTCCTTCGGCACGGCCCGCGAGTTCCTTTTGATTCTTTGGTGTGTGCCTCGTCAATATATTATGTGTTTCTTCGTTGAAGGAGTTGAGATGCACGGCCCAACCTATCCGCCCTGAGTGACCACGATTTAGCCTGGCTTGGGGTTACGTCCGGAGACATCCATCGGCTGACCCTGCTGGTAGAACGTTCTACGAAAGAAATAGGGGGCTTCAGTTACATATAATTCCGAATTTCTACTGCCGGTGATTGTCCGAATTCTCTCTCTATATGGCCGATGGACGCAGCACAGATGGTCGATGAAATTTGTCACACAAAGCAGAGACTTTTCAAACTTCAAGAGTCGTGAAAGCGTGCAGAATGCATCGCGAATTGAGTACGAAGAGAAGTCTGACGCAGCGGTGGGTAACGTGACATTACTTCGCAACAGTCGACTGGATTCGAAGGCTTCGTCCCTATTTCACAGTTTACGCAACTGCCCAAAGCAATGGCTTTTCCCTAGTACTGATACCAAATAGCAAATATACCGTGGTTCTTTCGAAACCAGGAACTCGTACATTCTACCGTAATCTTTGAACATTGAATACGTGACAACTCTCGTGATTTTCACATTCCCCGGCTCGACCTACGACATAAACTCGCTGCTAGCGCTCAAGGGACGAGCATCCAAAACTCGACCAAGGTGAGTCATGTCAAAACCCATCCCTTTCCTTCGCAACCCCGTCAACCTCTTGAACGTAGCTATCATGCTGACGGAAAACGGCGAGCCTTTTCCCGTACGATATGCCGGACGCACGAACCCATCGACCTCGATCTGCTCCGCACCCGGATGTGCCATGTGTAGCGCAAATAACACGCACACCCTCTCGTATTCCTCTTTGCTGTCGAAATAGAGTTGGCCCGCAAACAGATTCAACTCCGTTCGCGTGTGAGCGGGGGCCGTCCACCCTGTCACTGGCCACTCTGGGATGATGTGGAATGTGAGGTCCGAGAAGGACCGCATGGAGGCAGTGACTCGTGGTGCATATATATGCAGTCGCACCTTGTCACTCTTGCGTATGATCGGGAGCAGCTCGTTCACATCATATGGACTAATGACGATCGTGACGCTGTTCTTCCCAAATCCACTCGATACGATCCAATTGACGGGGCGGAGATAGTCTGTCAGGCGCTCGTCACTAAGGTACCGATACTTCGTCGTGGTGGCAAAATCGACCGTCGCAAGCGGAGATGGAGACCACTCTGCTGTCGAATTCAAGGCCTGGTCGATCCCGGTGGGTGCGAGCAGTGGAATGATGTGAGTCAAATGCCGAGGGAGTACTCCGGTAGAGACGAATATGCGGATGTCGTTGCAGGTTTGATGCGTCGCAGGTTCGACCTTCGGAGGGCGCTCGATCTGACGCTCCCGCTCGACCTCGTGGTTGACCTCTCGCTCCTGCTCTTCCGCCATCCTAACATCCGACAGCTGAGTTACTCCAAGAAGATCTAGCCGAGCACGCAGGGATGGTATGTCCTTCGTTTCCCGGTACAGCCCAGCGTTTTGTGCCCGAGAAACCGGGTCGTACATTTCTTCCAGAGTTCTCGACTCGCGCTGTAACCACGCACCATTCAGAGCTGTTAAGT